TATTTATGATAATATGGATATTTTTTAGGACCTGAAGATGACTCTGAATGTACATGCATCGTAAAAAAAGACTTGTCAGGTTTTGCAGTTGTATTTGCAGAACAGGGTGCAGATGTGGTTTAACACCCATACAGCTGTCCTTCCTGTAGACAGAGGCCTGTTGAAATGATGTTTTGCATAAATTTGATTTTGTTCTGGTACCATATGGCATTCTTTCAATGAATAAAACAGTATTTTGAAACAATGGTTTGCATTAAAACAGTCTTGAAAGACTTTTATGAAAATTTGTGAGGTCAGTCACACAGTCTGCATTTATTATGTTTAGACATTAATTTAGCACTTTACCTAGTACCATGTATAGTCTTTGTGGACATGGCCCGTTTTACTCCTGTGATAGGCCACCACATAATGTAATCTGGCTTTTGAGCTTACTGAGCTTCACCCTGAAAGCAGGTAGGTTCATCATGTTGCCCATTTCTGTTGGAAGCAGTTGTTAATACCTCCTCTTCAGTGGGAAGGTTTCCCCTTAATTCTAGCCTTCATTGATTTAGGTTTAGTTTATATCTATTTATTCTTTTGTCAGTATTACCCTTTAGTTCAAATAGCATCCTTTCCTTGGCATTTACCCATGGTATATTTACAGAGCACAGTTTTATTCCATCCAGCCCTTGTTTTGTTAAGCTAGGTGAACTAAGCAATTGTAAGCTCCCATTTATCACTTCCATCTGAGTGATGCTTCTCTGCACCTGATGTGCTTTCGCTTTTCTTTTATCGATAACTGGAGAACAGCGTATTCTACTATTGGCTTGCATGAAGACATTACTGTTTTCCCTGCCTCTACTGGAAATAAACATAGGGGGTTTGGTGCCTACGGTGATGGCTTATAGTCAGTCACCATGCAATCTTAATTCACTTTTCTGCCTCTTCAAATAGATGAATCCTACATTTGGAGTAAGGATTCATACTCGCATTGGAAGGCGTGTTCTTGGCCATCTTATTTAATCCCGTTCCTGTCATTTCAGTCTGCGAGTTGATTCATTTCTTCCTCTGATAATCTTGTCCTCCTTTCTGTTGACAGACATGCTGAAGATAAAATGCTGAGAAGCAGTCTTTGGTCACTAAAGAAAAATTAGATCACTCCCTGGACCAGCATTCAAGGAATCCAGTACTGAAATACTGGATTCAGTACTGAAATACTGCAAGAATGTTGTACAGAGTTAAGCCCAGGTCCATCCACGTGCATCCATCTAATTTCTGATATCTATATTTCTTAGAGTCATAACTAATAATCTCTTTTTAAATTATTTTTTCCATACCTTCTGCCTCTTGCCTTAGTTGCAAATTCTCCAATCTCTAGTTTTTCCAAGGAGGTCTGTTGCGTGATATTTTTCCTTTTTTTAAAAAAAGAAAATCTGGTGAAAAAGAAAAAGATTAGGTTTCTTGACAGTTCAACTTTTTTCCCATTTTCAACTTCCATATCTATTTCCCTCAAAACTCGTTTCACTTCCTTGTTTGTTAATTAACTTGAGAGTTATGGGTCTGTAGTTGTGTCACCTTTTTTTGTCTTTCTTGGTATTGTTTGCTAATCTCTGTGCATATCCCACTGCCGTTTTTTGATGGAATTAATCAAAATCCCTTTTAATGGATTTATAAGCTATTCTGTGTGAGGATAATCCTGTAAAGACTAGCTAGACTTTTATGAAATACAGACTCCTAGGGACCTTGGGTTTGAAAGAGGCCTTGTAGTTTTTGTTCTTGAAAGAAGTAATTTTGCTAGCAGCACCCCAGAGGACTTCATTGTTCCCCTGCCCCCATTTCCCTTTTTAAAAAATTTGCACAGCTTTCAATAAGTATGTTTTGCACATAGGCTTGCCTAATCCGTGCTATAAATGTTCTGAATAATGTAGGGCCAAAAGGTGCAGAGAAGGAACTGCAGGAATTTACAGCTAGATTAGGTCTATGGTATTTCCTCTCTCAGCAAGATGGTCCTAGATTAAACGGTCATAAATTTTCAAAAATTTAACATAATTATAGCTTTACAGGAAGTGTCGAAACCTTTACTTTCCTGCAGAAGAATCTCTTTTCTGCATTCTTACATCCATCTGAAGTTTGATATCCTACTGCAAATCTCTTCTGAAGTCATGTGCCTTCCCAGTTATGGATAAACATCATGGTATTTCTTTTGTTCGGCATTTTCATATTTGAATTTTTGCCAGGTTTTTGGCACTTTTATAATAAATTGACCTTGAACAGTGATAGTTATATAATGTCTAATAACTTCTTTTGAAAATGGGCATAGTTGAGAACCGCTTTGGAAAGCAGAAGATTCACTATCCAGATTACATAGCCTTTACTCTTCTTTTCAAGGCTGGATGACGTCTTCGCATGATTTGTGGGAGGACATGGTAATGGTCAGTGTACCACACAATACTGAGTTTTAGTGGATTTCTTCCAAACCTGGTCTCCACTGAAAATGAATCACTGCCCATTGAAACACTGTGGGAATGTGGTAAAAGGTTAATGATTCCCCAAAGAATTTAAGCATGAAAAAGGCCTTTTATATTGGTGTAAACTTGTATGTCTTTTGCAGAGCTGTTTTGATTTCAGCTGGGCTTCTTTTACATGGAGCAACTTACTACAGAGCTGACTAGAAGAGTAAGATCTCTGGCACATCTCTGTTTTGCTTGTTATAACTTGGTGAAATTCATGGTTGTGCAGGACATGATGTTAAATCGATAAGGAAGTGATTTAAAAAAGTCTCATAAAAATGAGATGCGATTTTTACCTGGTCAAGAAGGCTGTCTCAAACTGAGATTTGAATCTACTTTATGAGAATTTAGAAGAGCTAACTTGTTAAAGTTAACTAGGTACACTTCTGCTTCACATGTTCAGAACTAACCATTTTTCCATTTGGGTTTGAATTTTCTGTAAACGTGTAAAGTATGGATTTTTGTTCTAGAGGTGCTGTAATACTTCGTATGATCATAGTTTGGTAGTTTTCACTTTTCTTTGGGATGGATCTTGGGAAGTAAGACTCTTGAAAACTCAATGCTTGAATTAGGGGAGTGATTTAGACATGGCCTGCTCACTCTTGTTCTTTGTTTTAGAAAGTGAAACTCTTCTGAGATTTTCTGCTGAATAAAAAAGCTGGAATTAGGGGGTTTTGGGCCTTTCCATAGCCTCATACGTTGTACATTTCATTGAGATGTTTGGCAGTTAGAGTTTCAATTTTATGTATATTTAACTGATGTCGTGTGAAAGTGCATTTTAATTTATGTAAGCAACATTCTGCTTTTTTTAATAGATTTGCTCTTTTTCCCAAATTGCATGTCACTTTATTCCCTTTATTTAACCTTTATTCTCAAAATTATGGTTTGTGGTTAGGCTAAAAAGCTGAATCTGCATCCCTTCTGCTGAGAAATGTACCATTTCCTTATGCTTCACTTTAACTTCTCAATATTTCATTGTACTTTTGCATAGGCCAGGACAGTTTCAAAAACCCCACATAAATCAGACTGGAATAGTAGTCTTAAAGAAAGTGAAAAGAAAGGTTCCCTGATCTTCCCCAGTGCTGGAGGAGTCTTCATGCCCCCTGGTATGAGAGGTGGGCTCCTGGCTTGTTCTTGCTTTCTTCAATCTCTGCAACACGTGTTATTTCTTTTGCGTTGCATCCCAGCTTCAGCAGCAGGGATGGAGAGCAGCGGTGTCCTGCTGAAGTTCAGGCTCTTGACAAGCTTTGACAGTTGCCTATCATGCTGATCAGTAGTGGCTTCTGACTTTTTGCTTTTCTTTATCGTACCCTCTTACAGTCTTTGGTCTCACATTGTGATCTGTGATACAGCATCTCATCCAGCTGTTTCTTTGTTTGCGCAGTGACTAGCACACTAACAGTAAAGATTGAACTGCTTTCATTTGGGAATGAGTCACTTGGTGACCTTAAAGTATCCGAAGGGAGTGTGGAAGAGAGAGTTCCAAGAATAGGTTTAAGAAAAGAAAAACAAACGGCTCTTTTAAAATACCAGGCTTGAACTGTTTGGGGCTTATTATCTCCTTAAGGAATCAGGTTTTAATTCATGAGTTGTGAACCCTATTTATCTGCCTCCTGCCAAGAAGGTAAGCACCGTTGTGCTGGTTTTGGCTTGGACAGAGTTAATTTTCTTCATAGTAGCTGGTATGGGGCTATGGTTTGGATTTGTGCTGAAAACAGTGTTGATAACACAGGGATGTTTTTGTTCCTGCTGAGCAGGGCTTACCCAGAGCCAAGGGCTTTTCTGCTTCTCCCCCCACCCCACCAGCGAGGAGGCTGGGGGGGGGCACAAAGAGTTGGAGGGGACACAGCCGGGACAGCTGACCCCAACCGACCCAAGGGAGATCCCAGACCATAGGACGTCATGCTCGGCAGATAAAGCTGGGGAAGAAGAAGGAAGGGGGGACATTGGGAGTGATGGCGTTTGTCTTCCCAAGTCCCCGTTAGGCGTGATGGAACCCTGCTGTCCTGGTGATGGCTGAACTCCTGCCTGCCAGTGGGAAGCAGTGAATGAATTCCCTGGTTTTGCTTTACTTGTGTGCACAGCTTTTTCTTTACCTATTAAACTGTCTTTATCTCAGCCCATGAGTTTTCTCACTTTTACCCTTCGATTCTCTCCCCCACCCCACTGGGGAGGAGTGAGTGAGCTGCTGCGTGGGGCTTAGCTGTCAGCTGGCGTTAAACCACAACAACCATCTAAGTCAAACTTTTTACTTAATTTAGTATTTTATTACTATCCATACATGTGAAAAAAGATGAAAGAGTTAAAATGTTCTTAGCCTTCACGTAGTTAACTGTGTTGTACCAAAATTTAACTTTGCATTATGTGTGAAAGCAGAAGACAACTTCTGAAAAGGTGTAGTTTTCTGGGTGAAAACTGTTGAACCTGTCTTTAATGAGTGAATGCAGCTTCATTTATTTAAAGTGCATAGTACCCACTTCTAAATCTCTGCTTTTGGTCTCTGTCCTACAGGGAACACAGTGAGTAACCTGATTTTCATTCTACCTCCAATCTATGGTGCGATTCAGACCTATAAAGATGGCCTTGAAAAACGGTATTTAGCTGCATATTTGTGTCTTACAGGTATGTGTAAAACTTAATTTGCTCTTTCATTATAAAGGGAGCTTAGATGTGCAATGAACAATATCCAAATATTAATAAACCAAGTAGTTAAATCCAAATACTATGTGTATGAAATGTAAACCTCAATTTGTTACACTTGTTAGTATTTACAGAAAATTGGTATTTGTTGGAAGGACCTGAAGTTAGAATTCATTAAATAACTTTATGAGATTTTAAAGTGATCCTTTTCTGGCTTTAAGTCATGCTCAGTGCATCTTAGCTTACCACGTCCTTTTATGATGATTTACAGAAGATGTCTTGTGTGTCCTACTTCCAAACAGTTTCACACTATTTAATATTTTTGTGACATTTGTATGGAGTAGTAATACAAGAAATGGCCAAGATCTTGAAGGAACTGGAAAAGCATTCTTTCATGAGTTTGAACTTGTTTTCAGTTCCTCTTTAGCATATATCACCCAATGACCTAACTGCCATCATATCTGGGGAGTTTTGCAGGGACGGAAGAACAATGTGACATTTGTCCATAGGTGAACTTAAGGGTGGTCTGTTTTTTCTAAAATAGCAAAATCTGGAAAAGAACCAACTTCCTTTAAAACACTAATTATGCAACTAAAAGTCATGTTCCTTATGAGAAAAGAAGATGTTTGAAGATGGTTCAGATTTGGCAGTTTGGTCTCAAAGTAGATTTCACAGAATTTCTGTGTTTCACAGGATTTCTATGTTTGCTATAGCTCCTATCTCTGTGGAGGCTATCTTTCCCAGTCTTCTCAGTGGTAAGAGATCGGTTTATTGTAAATGTTACTTTTAAGATTGGCATACTTCTGTATTTACAAACATTGTCGAAAACCACATATCCATATGCTAAATGTATTCTTAATGCCAATTAAGCTGTAACATATACTGGGTACAACTTCGTGATTTTTCAGTTACGTCAGCTTTGCTGATACATGTGAAAGATAAGCAGCACCAATGTACAGCATTGAATGTTGTCTGAACACTTTCCAAATAGCCATTTGTAGGCATTTTATGGTTTTGAGTAATTACTCATTTTTGTCTCAGTATAAAATAGTTTGGTAGAAGGAATTCTTAAAGGTCAGATTTCCTTTTAAAAAGACAGAGAAAGAAACAGTGTGGAAGCATTTGCTGAAGCTGACTCTTCACGTGTTCCTGAATCAAAGTATCCTATACAGCCATTCTTTCTAACACCCCCCCCCCCCCCAAAAAAACCCAACAAAAAAAACCAAACAAAAAAAAACCCCTCTGTGTTTGAGACTGTCTTCACTGTAACTTGTGGCTACCTCTGTCAGTGACACTTCACTGTGTGCCACTATCTGACCAGAGTGTCAGGCTGTCACAGCAAGACTGCCCTGAGTGGGCATTTCTCGTATACTGTTTAATGTTTAAAATGTTTAAAAAAAGAAAAAAAAAAGTCTGTCTTTGATCACAATAAATACCATGGACTTCAGTTTTATACTGTTCTGGGTGTTCACGAAGGGGAGGTCAGCCTGCGTATTTGACAGCAGTGCTGGAGGGCAGTCCTGAGTTCCAGCTGGGCTCTGCTCATCTGTGACTGGGACGCCTTTGACTCCTGTCTGAAGTGATAAATGGTTGCATGGCTTGATTTTTATCTCGTATGTTGGAACCTAACATTAAAGGTCACTCCCAGAAATGTTTCTCTTCTGCTTTGTCTCTGCTTCAGTATTGGTATCGCTGAATTGAAAGACGTAAAGGAATATAGAAGGCTTTATAGTTTCTCAGTGAAAAACAGGAACAGGATGGTTCGGAATCACAAACCTCTTAATATTTGTTCTACTACAGAATAAAAGCAGCAAATGAGAAGATAAACAGAATTTTAAATATAGTTGAAATGTGCCAGGAACATTGGCATTCTTTCTGTGCATGTGTCTGAATGAGAAGCATACTGAAATCGAGGTAGAGTAAGCGTATAGAAATTTTTTTTTTAAGGAAGTACCAGAGAGAATTCTTTCCCTTTACAGTAATTTTATTTATTAACAGATTTCACTCTACTTAATTTGTAACAGACAAGCGTAGACTTAATTTGTAAAGGGATAGTGAATTTAACACAAACTTCTGATTTCACTTCAGGCGCCATGCTTCATTAAAGACCATACAGCAGAGCTTCTAACTAGCTAGTAGTGTCTAAGCGTTGTTTTGTTTAAAGTAGAAATTCTTTAACAATTCTGCTCTGAAGGTGGGGGTGGAAGGGAGGGCACTTTAGTGAGGTTTTAACAACTTTGAATCATTACTGAGATTTTACAAGATGTTAAAAGGCAGCTGTCAAAGCGGACATGAAGATTAAATCTGTTAGCATTTCAGAACATAAGAAGTGTTGTTTCTAGACATTATTTTGATCCAAATCAGCTGTTTCTTTTGGATACTTCCAGATATTTAGCTGATTGTCAGTTCCTTTGTGTTTTACCACGCTGTGTTCAGTGCTTCATTTTATACCCCACAATTTCTGTTGTTGACATTTATTTCCTCTTTGAACCAAATGCATTTTGAATTAGGGAAGCACTGTTCATTTCACATATATGCTAAGATCCAAAGTTGGCAGGACAAGAAGGGGGATTTCTAAATAACTGTTCAAATGAATTTCTTGTTCGCACTGGTGCGGAGACTGAGTTGCACTTTTCAGCACATACTTTGAGATACAGCATGCTGTTCTCAGCCCTTATTTCTGCTGCTTTTCAGCTCCAAGGGGATGTTGTCAATGAACTCAATAAGAACTGGATCTGATTTTTAACCTTCAGAGAAGTATTTCATCAACCTATAAATTATGAAGAATAATCTTAAGCAGTTGCTTTAGCATGTTGCATCTCATGAAGTAGGTGGAACAAATCATCAGACTGTCACTGCCTCGAAGAATAAGCAGTCGTTTTTGGATGGTTCCTTATGATGCTGTGGTATTGTATAAGGTTCTGCCATATGTCATTTCCTCATATATCCTGGGAAACTATGATTCCCAAATGGTTCATATTCTAGAAGGGTCTTGATTTAAAAAAAAATCAAAAATATATGTGTGTGTGTGTGTGTGTATATATATAAAAATAAATAAAAAGAGAGTGTAACTATTTTGGACTGAGAAGACAAGAAAAAAAGTCAATGGATTTATATACTTTATTACATGCTTTACTTGAAATTTGGAAGGATTGTTCTGTTGTGTATTTCTTTGGCCTGTTTAGTAGGACTCAGTCATTCAAGCTGTGCCAAAGTGGAGGGAGAAAAAGAATGCCAGAAGTTTTCTACCTTAGACATGGCCACAGGAACTCGTAAACACCTTACAGAGTTTCACTGGAAACGAATTTCAGTATCTGTGAAAATAGTTGTTAGAAGCCCTTCAGTCAAAGTTAATTCTCTTATTCTTATCTAACAGCCGTACAGAAGGTGCTTAGGCCATGTCGACGTTAGTAAATCAAATGTGCTCGGGAACATTCCTGAGTGCTGAAGCCAAATAGTGTGGAACAGCCCATGTCTGTTCGTCTTAACCTCTGAAACAAGGTGACCGCATACAAATTCCTTGCTGGGCACGGGTCCTGGACTCTTCTGGCTGCTAGGCTGTGCCTGGGAGCTGCTCGGGGAAAGTGCTAGTTGGAACAGGCCGGATTCACGCCACAGACTGTTCTAACAATTCAGTATTGCATATGGTTGCATTATAGTGTCTGGGAACAGTCCCATGCTTGAGTTTACTTGTAGAGCTGTACCCTTGGAATAACTAAGGTCTCTCCTGTCTCTTACACTGTGGAGGGAAACCATTACAAAACAAAGTAATTCAATAAAAATTGTTCATTTAATTCTACTTTTTCATCTCGTTTCATTCTTTGACTGTTTACGATGCAGTATGTTGTTGTCTATTTTTGGTTTAGTTCTATCATTGCAAAAAACCATAGGTGAAATTCGGCTCCAGATTCAAACACCTAAACTTGTGTGTCTACCTGTGCAGAGTGGTCTGTCTCCCATTGCATTCAGTAAAGCCTAGAGAATCATTTGGCTCATCTTAAAATATCCCCTTATATTTGGCCAGCTGAATTACTCTTTATAATGCTATTCTCTTTAGTGGAAGCTTTGACACCTAGTTCATGTGTAGATACCTAAAGAATGGTGTTTGCATTTGAAGCATCCTTCCTTTAGAAAGTTTTCATACAGTACTTGTACAGTTTAAATTCAAACTACATCTGTGAAATCATAATACACTGCTTTTTCTATAAAGGCTTTAGTCTTTTGATAAGAATTTTGAATGCTGATGGATAGTCTTATATTGAAATAAATTACTACTGATTATGTGATTCTTCCTAAAACTATTGAAAAATTCATAGGGGGGTATTTGTATCCCTCTAGGGTTCAAATCCTGAGAGTATATGTGGTTCATATATGGAGCTGGATCTCGTGTATAATTGGATATTTCTAGCATGAATATTGCCTTGAAGTCTTTGACAGTGTTGAAGCACAGTGAAATAACTGTGTATGAAGTAAAGTCTGCAGATACATTGCTTTTACATCATCACTAACACAACTGTTTTATCAACTGGCAGTAATTACACATTGTGTTTGCTGCAGGACAAAAAAGACCATGTTAGTCTACATATAGCAGCTAACCTGACTTTGGATTTCCAGTCTTTTTAAGTGCTGTTCCAATCTCATAATATTGTGACTTAATGTGTATTTTGTGCTTAATATATAATTTATGTATATCCCCTGTAACTTGAGAGGTTTGTTGATGTAAAAATGCTGAGTGACTTGTAGTATCTATGAAAAGTGAGTTACAGTAGTTAGAGAGTAAATGGTATTGCTTCAGATGGTGTTAAAACTTCCCAACCGATATGCAGCTTTTAGTGAGTTAAGCTCCTTTGCAAAAGTAAACACCTAAAATTATAACTGTAACCCTTGCTTACAAGATAAGAAGCAAATCTATTGCTCAGTTTGTCAATGGCTGTATGGGAAAGTTGCTTCTATTGAAAATTGGTGTAATCGCAGTGATTGTGTTCACTCATATTTGGAAAAGTACAAAGCTGGTAGAACATCCCATTGCAGTGATAGCTTTTGTGAAGTCAATATTCCTTAGAAATGTCTTGATCCTGAAGTTACATGATGAGAAGTATATCTAAAGATAGCTGCATTCCTGTAGAACTGCAGGTAGAAGCTACATGCAAAGATACTTGAGCTTAAATACTAAACGGCTATTTACCAGAGACAAATAACATGTCAAGCCCCTTGTAAGTTTACAAGTTAGACTTTCAAGTGTGACAAGAAGGTAGTGTGCTCTGGGCATAGCAGAGGAAATAGAGATTTCCTTGCAGTCCTTGGCATGTGATAGGCGTTTCCTCTTTTTACTTTGCAATGTTTTCAGCACTGAACACTAACCCTGCATTAAACCACAAGACAGCACCTCCAACTAGCACAGCTCTTGGCCCGGTGAGTGCAGTATTAGATATTAGTTCCCTTCTGCTGAAGTTTGCCAGTTATATAGAGAAGTTAGTGAAGCAGAGTATGACATATGCTTCAGCTGCTACAGTTCAGTTCATTATCTCTTAATGCAGTTTCCTTCTTCCTCCTTTTTGAACAGATTCATGAAGCTTTTTGTACAATTCTGTGTTAAGATACAACGTATGCCAAAGGTAGCAAATGAGAAACTTGGTTCTTGGCTCATTCGATCTCTAGATGTAAAACATTTTAAATTTATTCCTCTGCAATGTAAAACATACTTTTTTAAGTTATGCCTTTGCAATAAGCAGGTATAAATGGGATATGTAAAGAATCATGTTTCATTCTTTAGTCTTCATTTAAACCATCTCTTCAAAAAGATGCTATTGTGTACAGTTACCACAATAGTGTTTGAGGAAATGTGTCTATGCAGTCTTGAGAGGGAGAGTGTCATCTGACAAATAATCTAGTCATGTAATTTCTAGTCATGTAACATCCTGGGTTATCTGCTGAATGCACTTAAATACCAAACAGACTTGACCGTGTTCATGAGCTCTGTCAAGATTGCAGCAAGCAATATTACTGCCATTTCCAGTAGAGGTTTTTATTCTAGGAAGGACCATATGATGAGTCCCTGTAAACTTTTCTTGTTTCAGATAACTATTTTATTCCTACACAATATAGATAAGCATTGCTCTCCAATGCATAGTAAAATTTCATAATCAAAGAAACCCCAAGTGTGATCATTACACAGAAGCAAGAGTTTTTTTTATTATTTTTAGAAATTAATTATAGTCACAGGATTAATGACCTGAAACACTAATATCTGCAGCTTTCTTGATTTTTGCAAAGACTGGAAAGGAAAAATAATCGAGAAATAACTACTCCTAATCATATAGGAGGAAGGGGAGGAGCTCAGTAGCTGATTGTTGAGATTTTTTTAACCTCACTAACATTAACAAGAAAACCCAAACCCCCTAAAAAACAACAACAAAAACAACTCTAACAACATATTTTGTTAATTTAAAATCAGTTGAAAATTCTTATGCAATGATTTTGCCCGTATTTGAAAATTACACTTGTTACAAATGTAAGAGTTTGTATCACAAAGATACTGAAATCACAGTGACAGCCAGGATAATGGATGGTACTGTTTTAATGAAGATCTTAGTGTTTTTTTTTCTTCAGAATGAACATTAATTGTGATATATTCTGTATACGTAGAAAAATGGCTATGAGAATTTCTCATTAAAATCTCAATGAAGGTGAAAAACAGTTATTGCTTATTGTTTGGAAAGATTTTTCAGAAGCAAAACAATTTAATCGGAACTTAGAGAAGTGCATATAGTTGTTTATGTTTTGGTAGACAGCCATGCTTAATTTTCCCAGAGAATTAATGACATTAAAGTATTTGGCAATAAGTTTTTAAATGTAGCTGTATTACAGTTTTATGTTTCAGTAAAGTTACATTCTTAGGTATTTCATTTCATTGAGTACATGTAATAATCACAATTCTAGCTTAATAGTATCTAAAGAAACATCTCCAGACATGTGTATCAACTGTCTTGGGAATCCTTTACAAAATGTGCAGTTTGTTAGATAAAGGTCTGTTTATGTAGCAATGAAATCTAGCTGTTGTGTGTAGAAAAGGTTATGCTCTTGCAGCAAAGCACAGCAGCACTACCCAGTGATCAAGGCTTGAGTGCAAATTACTTAGCTTTCGCTGAAACTAGAGTCTGAAGTAAAACATCATTTCTTGAAGGAAGACAAGACATCGCATTAATGTACTTGTTCTTGCAAAATAAAAATGAGCTGGTGTTTAATGAGAGTGTTTAACTGATAACATTTCAAAGTAATGAATGATACATTAAATACTCTACCAGCTTTGCTCTAAACAGTGAAATCTAACTTCCAAGAAACATTGTCCTTGTCTAACTGAAAAAGCTGTGTATAAGCAAAGTATCTAACTCATAAATTAATTTCAGAAGTAAATTCAGAGTTTAAAAATAAAGTATTAAAAATAAATAAAAATCATTACACAGTAGGCTGAGCTTCCAAGAATAAGGCTCGGAAATGGTGATCGTGTTTCACAAAACAAATCCATACTGCGTGCGTTTTGTTTGTTTACCCTGAATTTCTAGTTCTGAGTTCTAGTAGCAATTCAGTTCTGCTTCTAGAGCTGACAAAAAGGTCCTTGTAAAATTTACCTTATAAAACTGGACAATAAGCAGAAGTATCACAGCCTTTCAGGAGTATTAGCAGTTGAATGATGCTTTGCATTATAGAAGGATTGAGGCAGATAAATCTTAATGTACTTAAAAGAAGAAAAAAAGAGAAATAGAATGATAATGTTCCATTCATTCTTGGTTCCCTCCAATCCTGTCCTCACTGAGATTATACCAGTTCGTAGGAGACAGTATTGAGAGGAGGGAAAGAAGACACCCACCCTCCAAACAACAATAAATTCAAAGACATCACTGATGACTAAACTATAAAGTAGGAGGCTGTGGAAAATTGGGGGTTTGTCCCTGAAATGGGATGCTGATGTTCTAATTTTTTTCCCAGTAAAGTTCATGCATTTAAGTTGATGTACCTGAAAGTTTTACATGCAGACTTTTATGTTAACCATAGTTTTGATTTGTTTTCAGCTGTGGGATTAGGATCTTGGTGCTTCCACATGACCCTGAAGTATGAAATGCAGGTGAGTATTGATAAGTAGCTGTAAATGATTTTATGTGTGTATGTCACTATATAGTCATATTGCCATTTCTTGACTAGATGAAACTTTATATAGCATGAGTTAATGTACCTTAATTATCATTGCACATGACTCCTGCTCTCAGCAAGAGAGTAGCGGAGGTCTTGTTTATTAGATGTTTTCCACTGATAGATATACAGGAATATATACTTGCATCTAAAATAAGGGCTATAATCAATTGTTTACATTGATAGAAGACGCTTTATCCTTTGGGAAATCATACTATCTTTTTACTAGAGTTGTTATTTTAAAATTCCTACAGCTTTGGCTTAATAGCAAGCAGTATAGACTAGAGATGTTTATTGTATCCTTTTTTTTTCATCCTAATGTTTTCTATTGTTTTTTATTTATCTAGATGTACCTGTAGCATTAATAATGAAGTCAGTATTTTCTGAGTAGCAATAGTGGAGTCTTCCTTTCTCTCTTTTATTCTCACGTAGAAGGCATTCTGTAATAAATCACTGAGCATAAGGATTTGGTCCTGGTATTTCCCATTTTCAAAAGGGACACAAGGAGTCTTGTCCTGTTTCAGGTCTGAGAAGATTAAGGAAGTCTTTGAATCAAAGTCAGGGTGAAGTGGGATTCAGTTCGAAATTAAGAAACCTACATTTAAAAGTGTATGCTGGAAGTCTCTGCTCCCACCGTAGTCAATGGAAATACAGTTAAGTCAGTGGAGTTTAGAGAGCCAGTCAGCTGGGCTGTATCTTTCTCCAGACTCCATTGGCAGTCTTCAGTAATATTTGTTTGTCTGAATATAGTTGTTTAGTGTCATTTTAGACCCTGTGCGTGTTCTATCTGGCCTCCAGCTGCCACCCCAAAAAGGTGCAGCTCTCTTAGACCCCCTTGTCACATCTGCCAGTCTTGGGTGGGTGTATTGGAGATGACGGAGCATCTCAGGTGGCATTAGGTGCCTATGCTGTGGCAACGGAATTGAGTCCTGGATTTCTGCTGATCATAATGGGACCTGAGACCCTCCATATGCGGATACCAAAAGTTATGTGTCTTAATCTTGAACTGAATTACAATCCGTAGTGATGCTTGCCTCCATAATGCTCAGTTTTATATCTCTGGCACGTGCTGGAGACTGTCAGCCTCCATGGAGCATACTTTTGCCACCATGTCAGAATATTTGGTGCTTTTCTTGGCATGAAGAAGGTGGTTTCTAGATCGATTTCGCCACTCCCTCCCAAACTGGGGTGTGATTTACCTATATTCTCTTCAGTGGTGAAACTGCCTTGAATTTCCACCTTTTCATCTCTCTTCCCTCAGCTTCTTGTTCCTAACCCTGCCAGTGTTTCAAATCCTCTTCCTTACACTGATGCAGAGGTGAGCACGGCCACCCTGAAACCCAGATCATTAAAATGATCCAGGCTTAAAACATTCTTATATGGGGTTTGTTTGTTTGGTTAGGGTTTTTGTTTGTTTGTTTTTTGTTTTGGTTTGGTTTTTTTTCCTATGTAGAGGCTATTTCTGACTGGTGTAAAAGGCTTTGTGTGAGGCAGAGAAAGTACATTTATTATTTTGGCAGCCAAGTGAGATCTGCAAGTGACCCATAATTACTCTGATGGCTAGCTCTTTTCTTGTTCACTTTATCTTTCGTTCTGATTAAAAGTCAGCATTGATAGCTGTTCGAAGAGATTTTTTTTTTTTGGACATTTGTTTCACAGTCTTAATACTGTAAATGGTTAATTCAGATTGCTTAATAAAGATAAATGCGAAAGCTTCTGGTCTTGAAAGCAGTTTAGAATACTTTTGAAGCGATCACCTTCCATTTTCTCTTATTTTTATGGGAATCTGCTTGATTGTGCATTCCTCAAGAATCCAAATGCTTAGTTAACCAGCGAAATCAGCTCACCAAGTTCTCTTCTATCCATGTGTCTTCATTGTTCAGACATGTTCAGACATGCTGTTGACAGTATTTTGGGAAGCATTAATTCCTTTGGATACAGAAGCCATTGTCTTCTGCAAGCAAATTCTAACTACGATCTTTTGAGAGGCTCTTTGGTGTTACCATTATGTCCCTGAGATGCTGCCAGCATATGAATTTCAGACTGTAATCAGCTGTCCAAATTTGAAAAATTTTGCTATGTTGTATTTCTTATTCTCTGCCCCCCCCCCTTTTTATTTTATGAGGCCTTAAATGACTCATGCTTTTAAAGAGCTGCATGAATTTATCCTGCAGCTAATTCCTATCAGACTTGGTAAAGCATATCACTAAACTTAGAAATAACTATTAGTATAAAGCTGAATTCAGCTACTGCTTCTATTTTTTCCTCTCTAAGGCATCACAGCAAAGGTAAACTATGGGATGGCAAGGTTCCACCTAACATGCCTGTTAGCTTCAGCTGCTATCTATGTTCCTGATACTTTTTTGTGCTACCTGTTGTGGTCCCTGACCCTGTAATGCACAGATTCAGAGGTTTAAACCTTTTTCTGCAAGGTTAGCTGTGTGCTGGATCAGCTGTTGGAACTGGCTTACTGTGGGTCAGACGAGTTTGACTGCCTCACTCGAGAGAAATAGTGGGAGTCTGGGTGAAGAAGCAAGACCTGCCCTTTCAGTGGCAGCTAGTCAGTAGATCTGTTTAGCAGTATTGTGAAACATTTCCTGAAGTTTCTATGACCAAAACCACAAAAAGCTAATAGTTCACACTCAGGATAATACATCTCTCCTTCCGTAAAGAACCAGATCACTTTTTTTCCCAGTATGAAATTTCAAAACGGAAAGAAATTTTTTGCCAGTGCAGTTAGAAAAATTCTCCCAAACCAAGCAGAGTTAGGCTGGCTTTATAAAAGGGTTTGTGTAAGCTGCTATTGCTCTTAATGTGTCTCATTATTCGGAAAAACATGGTTGTGAACTTGTTAAGTATGTTGTACCAGTAGTTGGAAGGTAATTTCTGTACAGGCATGACCATCAACAACTTTCAGAGTGATGGTGGAAAAAGGTCAAAATCTTGTTTGCATCCAGTTCTTTTTTTTCTTAGGAAAGAGTCAAACCTGGTATAACAATACTAAGATGCCTAACTATTAAGGTTTGCTTAACATATTAGAAATCAGAGGCTGTGGATCTTCATTGATCCATTTGTATACTTTTGTATTTTCATGATTTTCAGTCCTTCATAAGAGGAGGTAAGTTTAACTCTATGTTTATGAGCAGAAATTTGTTAATGTTTTTTGAGAAAAGTTTTAGAATAAAACAATGCTATGATTTTTTTTTTTCCCTTTAATGATAATTAAATGGCAATTTTGAGTGTTACCTGTTCTTGAGAAATCACCCCTCTTGTGATTACTATTTTAATTCCATCTCCATTAAGGTAGCAAGTTCCTGGAGAAATAACTGTTTTAGTTGTAACATGCCAGTCTTCTCCTGAAGTATAAAAATTATTTAAGACAATAAAATAGTATATGGCAGCAATAATTTGGGGGGAAAAAAGGCAAACAAGAACCCCAAAACAAACAAACCAACCAACCAATAAAACCTGTGTCTGAATTACAACAATGTAAGAAATTTCCAAACTTGTGATGTGCTTGCATGTTTACTTCCTAAGGTACTTAATAATGGGCTAAAGTTCTATTTTAGGTTATGGAAAAAATGTATTTGAGTTTCTCTGTGAAGTTTGTACAGAAGGAAGAAATGCTATGGGCTGTATTGAGCAGGCTATAAATGGGGTGGTTTTATTCAATCTGACTTTACAAAACTAATTCGTATAAATGTTTAAAGAGGTATGAACAGCAAAAATCGCATGATTCTTTGAAGGTGTGGGCTTTTTATGAAACGTAATATTCAAAAGATTCAGAATAATAAGCTTATTAATGCAACAGACTTTCAGTAGTTGAATAGGATTTGACACTGCTGCATACTGAAGTACAGTCAAGGTGGATAGCCAAATGACTTAAAACCTTCTGTTTTCTTAAGACTTATATGTCCTTGATTAACTTACACAAGCGTGTGAGTTAAAACTAGTTTTCATGTTCTGATGTCTCTGCTTTTTGTAGCTGTTGGATGAACTGCCAATGATATACAGTTGTTGTGTGTTTGTCTACTGCCTGTAAGTATTTGTTAAATGTTTTTTTCTGAATATTTATGAAATAGTAACTCTTGAAATGTAGAATCTGTGGAGCCCAATCTAGTGTATAGTGAGGCTGACACTGAAGCTTCTAATGATTTCAGTGAGATCTCAGTTTTGCTAGCAGTATAGCATTATGATGTGGCCATTAGAGCACCAGGCTGGCTTTAGTGCTAGTTTTTCCTAATTTAGAGATGTTTAACCAGTGTTTGTTTAGCAGGAAAAAAAGTAACTCTTGTTAAAGACTTTGTGTAGTATACAAGCAGAGCTCAGTGTTACTTGGTATGTAAACAGCAGACATAATAAAATCAGTTTCAGTAACACCTACAAAATTATCAACGTTATAATTTATTTGAGCTGTATTTCTATGATGTAGTCTGACCCAAATGCAAATTTCAGATTTCTGGTTAAACCTGCTTTCCACTCATCTGGAAAATTAAAGAAAAAACATTTTATGAAGAGTTGCGTGCATACTCTGTGGAGAGTGTCTTGGAACATGCATGAGAGCTTAATGCCATGCCAGGATGTTTTCTCCCATTTAATTTTGGGAGCAATGTAGCTTTTGGCAACTGTAAAAGATACTGTAAGTTGGCTTTTTCTTGCCTGTTGCTGCAAGGCCTGGATTTAACATGATTTGTTCTGTCACTTGGAAAATCCAAATGATAAATCAACTTGTTGCAGACAAAAAGACAAAAAAAAATGTCTTTTTGCTTTTGAACATATCAAATATTCAGCAGTTGAGAATTGGAATATCTTTGGTGAAGATTACTGGTAGCTTGCAATGGAGATGCGGGTTTAGTCCTATAGCATCCCATCTGTGGAAATTACCATCGGTTTGTGATTCATACGTAAGTATGATTTGTGCAAACTCAGGACCAGAATCATAATGCCTCTGTTAGTGGAAATATTTCCATTGTAGCTCCCCATCTCCTTGAAATTGCCTTTGCATTTATTTTGTCTGATTTGAATGTGATTGGGGAAAAGGATGAGAAGTGGCTATAAAAATCTGTTTGAAAAAATAATCATGCTTATTTTGTGCAATGGTTATTCTATTATCTTCAAAAGCACTGGAGTCTGTTACTGCATTTATAGCTCTAATAAGATTCTGTGTATGTATGTTTGGTAGTAATTAAAATGTTCTGAAGAATGAGCTAATGTTTAGTTTAGGAGGCCTTTAATAATCGTTTTGGTTTTCTTGAAGGTAGGTGGCGGGGTGGTTCTGAACGGGACATTCCCTTATGCATTATTCAGTCCTACTGACTCTCAAGCTGTGTAATTACATTGGCAAGCCATTTTGCAATGTAGCACATTGTGCTGTCTTGTAGATTTTTTTTTTTTCACCAGATAGTCCTAAATGTTTTTTCTTTCTTTACTTTTATTCATCTATGATGGTGTCTGTTTCGAAAAGTCTATAAACAAGTAAACTAGGCAGATGTAACTTGGAGTTATTAGGGCTAAAGGAAGTTGTCTATATGATTTTGTGCTTCTCAAAGTTCATTTTTGTTGGTTTTTTTTTTAGACCTTTTTTCTGATGGAGATATGGACTGAGATATGTGTGCGTAATTCCATCACAACTGTGACTGAAGTGTAGTGTAGAGATTGTGAAGCTAATTTTAATTAGTTGTTGTACATACTGGGAGCAATTAGCTTTTTTTATTTTCCACTTCTACCAGTACCCAATTTAGCAAATTTACTGCACTGTGACTGTAGTAAAGCCATAAATAATCTGCATTTTAACAGATCTCTAGAGTTCACTGTTTGTAAGGCAGTGCCTTTCCTACACTGCCTTTAGCTCACAGATGTAATGTTTTTTGGCAGCTGTATTGCATTTTAAACTCATTTCTGATTTGCCATCTATTATCACCCCTTAAGCACCTTCTGAAAACACTTCTGCTTCCCAAATGCTTTCCACTGACTGGTTATTTTTTGTATATGCGTGAGCTTACTGGGTTTTTTTGCACTAAATTTTTTTAAAAAACATTTATTGGTAAAAGTGTGAATTTTTATATTAAAATAACACATCTTTATTGGAGGAGCTACAATTTCTTGAAGGGCCTAAGACTCAGATAAATTTTCTCACAAATTCTGTGATAATATACCTTGAAAAATGCGTCCTTTATATGGTAAGTGATGAATGTTATCGCTCTCCTTTATGTTCTGTTCCAGGTATGAATGTTTCAAGTACAAGAACACAGTCAATTATCCACTGCTTTTCTTGTTAATAACATACAGCTTCGTAGTCAGCATAGTAAGTAACTTTTTCTAATACAGCATTTTCACCTGTAGGTTGACAGTTTTCCTGCCAGTGAAGGAACATTACACAGGCAGTACTGAATCTCTTTTGCTTCCAGCCAAGATGGACAAATTATTCTTTTGTTGGGAAAATTATGGGATGGGCAGAGAAACCTGAAACCTTTCTATCTAAACCACCGTATAGAACAAATGAAGAAGAAAAGTGGTAATCCAGTTGCTAGAATAGGAATGTGAGAATAACAGTCACCGTTGACTTGTTATGAGACCTTGGACAAGTGGCATTCCTCAACTTCCCTCACTTTAATTCATCTACAGAAATGAGAATAGTTCAACAGACTGCAAAAAGTGAACTGTGATAGACAGTCCAGGATATTGACTGGTGTTTTAAAATACAGCCAGAATAAGAAAGGAACTTAGCTGTTAAAAAAAATTAGAAGAACTTTAACTGTGTCATGGCTAACTTGATTCCCTTTCTCAGTCCAGTGTGCTCCCTTTATGAATAAAATTAGTTTTGTGCTGGCTGTCAACCACAGATGGAATCTCCTTCATTATTTTTATTGACAACCATTTCTTAAAAAAAAAAAAAAAAAGAAAAAAAGAACTATTATAGGTCATGTTCTGCCTTCAAATGCTTGCCTGTTCTCTTCTGTGCTTCCTAAAAATTTTTACACTTGTGGCATGTTACACCGAAGGTCTACTGCCCTTCTGTCTTCAAAAGCAGAAATTAAATGAACTGCATTAACAGTAGGAAGAACTACTAGTTTTTTGTAAGATGAATTGAAATGTTAAAGCATTGTCAAAAACATTAATAATAGCAAATCAAAGTAGAGTACATTTTCTTCTTGAATGCATATCAAGAATGTGTCTGGTAATTTCTGCATCTTAATTGTTTTTGTGTGTGTTGCAACTCTATTAAATGAGGCGATTTTAGATGTTAATGTCTCTATTTGTGCTTCTTAATTTAAAATAATTCCACAGTTAAAACCCCAGGTTTTGCCAGAGGAAACTTCAAATGTTTAATCAACTTTAATGGTGCATGGATAGGCACTTGTGTCTTGACTCTAACAGAACAAGTCTTGGCAATATTTAGATGAATAATGTTATGATCGTTCTCTGTTGCAAATTATTTCTCTTCTTTTTAATCTTTCCAGGTTTACCTAAATTTGAAAGAGCCTGTATTCCATCAGGTAAATCTTGCTCTTTTGGAGTAGCTAATCTTGCTTTTCAACTATGCTGTTTTAGAGGAATGTTTTACAGGATTTTATAGCTGTAAGGAAGATGGAAGGCAAGCACAATTTGCCTTTTGCTTTTTCTTCAAGCGGTATTGTTGCCTGTCATGTTGCCATCCTCTTATGTGGTGACCTGAAAAACTAGAATGGTTTAATGCATGTTTTGTTTTAGCATTTGACCTAATATTTCACATGGTTTTCATCAGTGGCAAGTGTAATGAGGTGACCCTCACTATGGGCTAAAGTGTATGTGAGAGGGAGAGCTTAATGAGTCCTGGTCTGCTTCTTTCCATTAGCAGCTGCTGTGAAACTAGCTTGGTTAACGTGGCTTGGGTGACTTAGCACCATGTTCTTCTCTCCCTTTAACATATTCGTTTGTTGGGGTTTTTTTTAACTACGCAGTTTTACTTTGTGTAAATTCAAGCTGAATTTAAACACAGAATGTCTTCTAGGGTTATGTAGCAGACTGGTTGTTATGGTCCTACTGGTTTAATGGCGTATTTGGTACAGGTTCATTTTGTAGCAGCCCAAGAGTATTAATATGCATCCACTGCCTGTGGGAGTAAGACTTGTATCACTTGCCTCTTTACAGGAGGTTAGAAATCATGCTTGTTTATGTATCCTATGAGTTCTGTTCCCTCATTTCTGATTTTTTTTTGATTAGGGGTAACAGCTGAAAAATTGCCAAGCAAAAGCAGTGGAGCTCTTTGCAGGACAAAGCTTTAAAGCCTTTATTTCTGAAATTGGTAGTGCCATCGCTTGTCAAAATGTGCCTGCTGCATCAGCAGTTGTAAAAATGATACGTGATTCCTGTTGGTGGATTAGCGAAGCACTGATGAATAAAATAAATTCCCAGCTGCTCCAAATAATCTCTCCTAGAAACATGATTTGTTACTCCACCTATAGATAAAAAGAGAAACTTGAGGGGGGTGTGGTGTTGTTTGATAATGTTAATTAAATTCTTTTTTTTTTTCCCCTACTTACATTTCTGTCAGGAAGATACTGGCTGGGGTGAAAGCAGCAATTTCTGATGCTTTTACTGAGCTGGATATAACTGGTTTTGAATGAAGTGACTTAAAGTAATTTTGTTAACGACAGTGGCAGAATTTAATGCTCATGTTGGACTTCTATTTCTTTAATGAATTATCTACTCAACCTACATTTATTGCAATAAATACATCACAGTTTCACTATATTTCGGTTTGATGCATTGGCATAGGTATTGTCCCTAAGATGATACATATTATGACTAAGATACTAAGATAGATACTAAGACAATAGATATTATGACTTGTCGGGAAAGAGGGAAACAGGGAAACTTTAAACTGTTGCCCCAGACCTTTAATTTTTTGCATCTGGTTTCTCTTAGGTTCAGAATATGAATTCCTTGTTATAATTTATACATGAGGAATCAATGTAGAAAAGATTTAGGCCCATAAAAGTGCTGGACTTTTTACAATAACTCTTTCCAAATTTATTTTTATGGAGAACATACAGTTATGGCCAAATTCCAAATGTTCAAGTACTGCACTCATTTTTTCACAATCTTTGCCAAATATGTTGTAAATCCAGAGGAAACATTTCTCTGCACAGCTAAGCAAGGTTACTTTCTTAACACATGTCCTTTACTTTACAGTGCACAAAAAAAAAAAATCTCAATATAATTTCAGTAAGTATTTTCCAACTGAATGGGTCACGTAGACTTGAAGTAAAGTTAAACACGCTCATGCAAGCATAGTTTAAATCACAATCTTAGTCCCTAACTGTATTGGAAAGCAGCGTCAGGACATAAAACAGCGTTTGATTCCTCTAGGTATTCATCTGTGATTATCATCATCATTTGTCAGCCTTGCAAGAAGGGGAATAACTACATGGACAGCTTTATATTGTTCATTGTTGCAGTGTGGGTTTTTTTCCCTGAAAGGAGAGCAATAAGAATGGAGAAGGATCCTATTATATTTAGTAGTCAGGATCCAAGCCTCATTTTTCAGTGAATTACTTTCTACTTTTCTTCCCAACTTAGGCTCATAAATTGCTTACTGCCAGCAGGGCATGAAGGGGATTTCAGATTGTTATTCATGGCACAGTGGCAACAGAGACCAACTCCTTTTTCTCCATCCCCATATTGCAGATCCTTAAGGGTCTTAGTGCTTTAACCATAGGAGGGATGAGATGCAAGTTTTGGTCAGTTGGAGGCTACACATGATAAGAAGGAAAAAAACCACTTCCCTGCCTGACAGCTGATCTGGTATTTTTTTGCTGCTTCATCAATTATATGAAAGACAGCAGTGGCCTTTACAAGCATCTATTGTCTTGTTTATGTCAAAATCTCTCAGGCTAACACACTAGTATTACCTAATGTCCATGGGGCTAAAAACCCTACATCCCAGTTTCCTAGTTGTTTTTAAGCCACATTGTTGTCAAAGAAAACAGCTATGCCTCTCTCCTCTTTCCCATCTGGCACACAAATTTAGACTCATGTGAATTTGACTGGGGAGCTCAACAGGTTAAAAGTTTCCTAAGAATTAGTTTTAAATCCGATTAGTTGCTCATCACTGTTTACTGCATGTATATTTCTGCTTATACAAGGAGAGAGGTGGGGGAAGACTGACGGCTGGTGTGGACTGATCCATAGATACAAAAATATAAGACAGCCCTGGAAGCAGAAGAAATTACCCTGGCAGTTAAAACTCTTGGGCTCAAGTCTTACAAGTAGTCTTCTTTCTAATATGATGTGGCCTAGAAAGCTGTCACATACAAAGCATTGTTTTCCATCCTGATTTGTTTATTTGCTACATACAATATGCTGGCTATACACTTGTAGCCATCAAAAACCTCATTCAGCTAGTGGGCCAAGTTATGTGAATAATGAAATAGATCTAAAACCCTGTTTTATTTGCATAGTCATCTGCTGCAAGAGTTTGAAGCAAATTTTGAGCAAACAAATAATTAAAAGGTAAACAGAAAATTAGGTTAAATAGCTCTTTCTTCTACATTAGGAAATGTGATTTAAAAAATATCTTTTGTGTAGACATTCAAATTTTGTTATGGTGTCCCGTGAGAAACTAAGCAAGCTGGAGAAGTAGATCAGGATGAGAATTGCAAATAGGGTAAGGGAGTGAGTGACTAGTGGAAGATGACTAAAGGAGATGATGAAAGGCACTCTGTCTGGACTTTCTTGAGATCAGTAGTGGGACTGTTTTTATTTAACGACCTGTAGCAGGAAAAACAGAGTTGTGTACTGATGATATCTGTGATGAAACAAAGTTCAGAGGCATCATTGAGCACAGAGGAGGAGATGAAGAGAACACTGGGACACCTTGAGGTCTAGGATGACAAATGATTCAAAATGGAAGAGCATGCATCAATAGGCAAATACCAACTATTCTTGTTCTAAACTGCACACATATTACCAAAGGAGGGAGGGAGTGAGTTCCTGGATGTGTTCGCTGTTCACAGCATAATAATATGACCAATGAATTTTCTGCAACAGTGATAGAAGTAAGATACAAATATTGGATTTACCAATTTAGGTGACTTTGGGTAAGAGGGAGAGAGTGAGTGTGGGAGAAAAAGATATTTCATCTGCCTCCCTGAAAAAATTAATAAAATTGTTCTCCATAGGTGTTTTAAATATACAAACGCAAAGAAGGAAGTGATATCATGATGAAATGTGTATGTGGAAGTACATACGGGAGCCTGAAACTGCATGAAGAATATGTTATGTGAGGGCACAACCTGTTCAAATTTGCAGGACTTCCCCATTTTGAGGAATCTATGTGTAGGACTCGATGTCCTACAGCTCTCCAGAGCCCCTCCTGCTGCTAAGGCAACCGTTAGTTGTAGGCTTGTGGCTTAATATATTGTGCCTTTTAGTGGAATGTGTTCTTACTTTCTACATGTTCAGGTTGCCAAGCAGTCTGTTAAAAATGACCTTTTGAGGGCATGCCTTCACCACAGAGCTTTTCCTACTTGGGCATTGTCTTGCTGACGTATAAAACTAATTTGAGTGAAATTTCACTCTGTTACACAGCTTGTTTGGGAATGTCTTCCAGAAAGAGAGCACAGCTTTCGTTCTGGCTAGTACTTCGACCTGCACAGTAGCTTAGGGAATGCGGAAGGATGTTCAGACTCTCCAAAGGACCAGCTCTACAAGTTATTGAAGGGGAAGCTCAGTTTCCTGCTGCAGTGTCCAAGAAGCTCTGGATTGCTGCTCTGTGCCATGGAGCAGCAGTGACTTGTGTGTTGCTTTGCCATCACATACGTGCACCTAAACAGGACCAAACCAAGTGAATCTGAATTAGTTCATTTGGGAGCTGTCAAGGCAGCATGTGGTACTAAACAGCCATAACTATGCTGAGTTACTAAGTGTTTCAGTGTTATTGTGGGGACCGTCCTTCCTTTTTCTCTCTGCTCGGATTTCTTTTCCAGAAATCCAAGAACATGTAAAAGTGTTTTCTTTGTTGTAAATTGCAAATACAGTTTCCAACTTCAAGTACTTAGGCTAGCTATCTTTTGATAGCTGGTTGGTATATTAATAGATAAGCAGTGGTTGCCAAGAATCCAAAAGCTCTCAGTGCAGTTCCCAATTTGTACACTAGTATTTGAGGCTGGTAAATTGACTTTATTAACCAAGGATGGGCAGAAGGCCAGGAGCAGAGGAAACAGGGACGTGGAAATAATAGGCTGTTGCTGCTTTCTGTACTAGAAGGGTAGATGAAGAACCAGGTTTGTATGCTCCCCGCGGTGTGGAGTACCAGCCTTGCCTCCAAATTGCGTAAGAAGTGAATCTATATGATTTGCGTAACTGCCTCCACATCAAAAATGCTGTCAAACACTGAGCCCTGAAATGCTCACTTCCCCTTTGTGAATTAGAAGGATGTTCTTCATATTTAGCCTTCTTATCAGGTAATCCACTGTGTATTGGTAAGACTTTGGGGTTTTCCCCATTGCAAAGATGCAGGCTTCAAAGCTGAAATACATGCAGCTTTATTTGCATCTTAAAGAGCAAAGAGGGAACTGTCTAGTGATAACAAAAGATGATGAGATTTTGCTGTTTCCTTTTCAATTGTAGTGCAAGGGTGTTCTCTGGCTTACAATTTAAAGGCTGTGAGGCAAAATAGCACACAACTTGCTTGGATTTTCATCTGTCACTTAAGTGATGTGTTAGTTAAAGAACAACAACAGAGGGAGTTAAAGGAATTGAAAAATTTGAGTCAACTTGAATAAGGTAGATTTTTTTTTTTTTTTCCAATGCTTTACCCTTCTTTGGGTGGACGGATAATACCTAACAAATTTTTGGCATGATGAAAATAGTAAATCTGTGGGTGGTAAAGAAGTAAAAGTAAGCACTGCTCCCTGAAGTATGAACTAAGTTGTGTGGCTCAGTTTATAGGCCTCTAGCAAGAAACAGCTGTAGCGAGACGTGCAGCTACAGTCTCTGCATATCACAGCAACACCTCCTCGATGCTTGCCTTCGGTGTGAAGAGGAGGATTGGAGCATGCAGAGCAGAACAGTTTGTTGTGCCAGTCTTTCACAGGCTTTTAAACACGAATGTGTTTTACTGCTGACAACCTGTTTGTGTGGGGGAGCGGAAAAGGCAAGAAATTGAAGTGTCAACTGTGGGCATATTTTTCTTCAGTCACTGCAAGGTTCTTTTTATTTTTTCCTTCCTCCCTCCATTAAGACTGTCCTCTTCTGCAAGCCATTAAGCAACTCACTAGGAGATATCAAGCCAGAGGCTCTACAAAGAAAGCTTTTGCTCTTCCATGCTTTTAGCAGCTGCTGCAAAAATCAGCATTTTTAGCCTGTGTTTTACCTGGTCTTTGGGCTGCCTATAAGACATGTTTCTCTAGGCATACTCTGACACTAACTCCTTGTACAAAGAACCCAAGAGCAAATCGGATAAAAGCAGGAAGGTGGTCGCACCCCTAATGGGTAGGTTTTTCCTGTGTCTCTCTTGCAGAAGAGCATTTTAGCAATGGAAATTATAGGAGGAAGGAGATAAGCAAGGAAAGGGCATCAAACTGATTTGGGTTCCAGAGGAGCCTTTCTAGGAGTTTATTCCTCTGTGCCATCCCTCTCTTAGAATAAATTACTGGATTTGATTAGGAAAATGCAACAGGCTGTTTTAAATGAGACTGATGAAGTAAAATGGCGTTTAACTTTTAAATTTACTCTGTTATCTGGTGGGGTCTTTTTAGGCAAAACGTCAGTGATGATTAATTGTACTAGCATTCAGCACCTGGCACACCTGAGCAGTGCCCTTTCTACCTTTAGCTTGGGACTGATAAACACTTGATACTCAGGCTGTGTCTAGCAGGTTTTGTTGTTTGGGTTTTTTTTCCCCAATTTATGTGCTGTAGCCCAGCAAGGGGACTGGAATTAGCTTAACAGCTTTGTATAAAGTACAAGCCAGAACCAATTAGCCTTTCAAATAGTTTTGCTTTGTTTAGCTCTACAGAGCAGAACACACAGTAGTAGTAGTTCAGTTACTGAAGTTATTTGATCTCACTCTGAATGCAAATAAAGAGCTGCTGTGCTGAATGACTTTGCATAGTCAATATTGGAGCTTACTTTTACCTGTTGTCAAACATAAGGGCCCTGTTGTCTGTCTTGTTCTGTATATATGCACTGATAATACAGTGTGTGCTACTAACCTCATCCTTAAAGCTAAAAGGAGTTTGAAACTTTGGCTTTATGGACTTTTGAAGGGTAGGTTTCACTTTGTGTTACTACAGCAATCTGTTTTATGTCTGACGACTAGACTCATGCATATGCTTGCAGGACAGCAATAGCTGAATGTCCCAGTTACAGCAGAGTAAGAGGTAGTCCTTGCCTTGAAGACAATGTAGTCTAAAAGAAGGAAAGGTATGAGGAGGTCAGTAGAACATGGTAAGGACACTGGTTTGTAAACACACCTCTGTGAGGTTTACAAATAGGCAGCAAAGGTTTATCATTTGTCCGTTTCATGTAAAACAAGGCAGTTAGATAGGCGTTAACTAAAAGCAAAATGAGAAAGGGAAGTCAGTGAACAAGGAAGTGAAAAATAGTGAGAGGCTTGTGGGCCACTGGAGAGAGGCAAAGAGCAAGGCACAACTGCTTGGAACAAACTGCCTTTTGGCAGGAGGAAAACGATGTTCAGAATAAAAAGCATGGAGAGTAATTTAATGTCTGAAACCTGTGTCTGAAAGTCCGCCCTGCTGCAGTGGCTTCTGCATCACTTTTCAGGCATGACTGACCACATTTCTTCTCTTTAGTCTGTACCTCTTGGAGATGGTGTTATGTGGATCCTAAGCTTGTGAATAAAAAAAGGGAGAGTGATTTAAAGATCACGAGGCAGAAAATAAATGATTACTTTGACTTTTATATAAGTCAGGCGATTACATTCAAATTCATCAAGCCTACAGTGAGCCAGATTTTGCTCATGGATCTTTTCAGAGCGTGCAGCCTTCCCACTGTATAATTAGATTGAATCCCAGCAATCTGTAATAGTTGGTTTTAAATGCTTCCTGGAAAGTTTCTTCCATATTGGTGCCCAGTGTGGGCATAGTGCATAGTCTATTCAGGTGTTTGCTTTCAGGAAAAAATATTAATCAAATATCAGTGAAGGAAGCATAGCTTTCAAAAATGGTTTTAGCTGATGCTTATGCAATCCTGGGCTAAAATGCACAAATACAGAAGAGATGATAGGAGTTAGTTACCGTTTTGATTTCAGGATGCTTACTGAGTGCCATCTAGTGTTTGCTTTCTAATTCAAAAAAGTGAAACTGATTTTACACAACTGGCTTTTCCTGTACTCGCATAAAGGGCATGGTTTATAATCATACTTTTATTTGAAACTTTTATGGAAGGCTTTCTGGAGAGGAAGTTAAAGGGGATACTATTTTCCTGAGACTAAGGAATAAAAATCAACCGAGGCTTCAAAAATTTTTTACTTCTGTAGTGTTTTATAAAGTCTCTTGAATTCAGCTGATTTTATCTCTGTTTTTATTTCCAGATCATGTATGGAACACTAGTTTCCATTATAGTTCTACGATCTGTTTATATAGTATTATGGTAAGTAACTGTTCAGTTCAGCTTTATAAAATATAACTTAGCAATTTCATCTTTTTTTTAACATGAGAAATTAACATTTAACATGAGAAATTGGCAATGGCAAAATTTCTTTAACAAGGTACATAATGCTAGCTTATATGCTCTGCTTGTTTGAAAAGGAATGGCTCATCTCCTTGCATTTTTTTGACGGGGATAACATTAAACAAAACTGATATCTCTACACTTACGATCAGTGTTCACTGCCAGGCGTTCTGCTAGAGGCTTCAGCTGTTAGCCTGGGACTTCAAGGGGAGTGGAGTCTCTGTTCTTCATATTGCTGGGTAACATGTGAAATCTATTGCCAGTGTCCAAACTCTAAGGATGATACTTTGAGAAGGGTTAGAGTAAGACTGCAGAGCTGAACCATCGGTTAATATTTTCCTTTCCTTTTCCCTGCTCAAGTATCTAAAATTCAAATGTAAAAGATAATGACACAAAAGGTTAAATGATAGTTTTCTGTACAGTTTTGACTGGATAAGGTTAGGGATACGTTATGGAAATTGAAATACAAACTATTTATAACAAACAAAAGGGTATTAGAAATGTTAAGAGACATTGAGAAGCATTAGAATCATCAGAGCACAGAGTTGCTGGGTAGAAGTGAAGAAAAAGGAATTGAATCAGTGTTGGAGTAAACACATACCTTTAGGTCTCAGGGACTCAGGTGGTTGCCCCTTCCTGGCTCTCCCCTATGTGTGTTGTTTGGGGATTGCCCCTGAAAGTTACTGATTTCTGTCTACTGTCTTCATTCTAAATGTGTTTTTTGTTAATCTTTGTTTTGAGTTACACACACATCTGTTCAGGAACACAAGGAAGAATTTAACAAAAGGTGTGAATTTAAAGTAGATTCATTGAATCACCTTCCAGTTGCAGTTTCAGTTAATTTGGTTTGACTTTTCCCCAAGAAATCCCCACAGACCAAGTGTAAATGTTCATAGACTTTTATTAAGCAAGAAGAACTTAAAACTGATAGCGTGTTGCTTGTGGCTTTAGAAACAAGCATCAGTTTAAAGGCACTTTCCAAACCCATGAACATGGAAATTTTAATCCTGAGCTAGAGATCTTAAGTGATATTACCTTCATTCACTTCCAAGGAAAACTAAGTTGAATCAAGTTCAGGTCATTTTAATTTTGTTCTTATACAAGGATTTAGCACAGTTCTAGTCACTTAGATTGAATGTCTTTCTGTCTGTGTAGACAAACCCTTAGGCCTGCTGTCTTTGCAGTTCTGCAAATTCCACACGCTTGTGCATTCTCATTATTTCTGAAGCATTTCATTGTCTTCTGTCACTATCAGTAACACTGCCATCCTCCCTCTCAGGGTATCATGCATTGTTTTCCTCCAGCAAAGTCTGTCTCTGAAGTTCCACCTACTTTTTTGCTTCAATTTCAGGAGTTTGGAGTGTATTTTCTTAATTAGCTAGATCACTTCATTGCAACATGGCCCTACAAAGACTTGCTTCACCCTTTGGTTGTATTATGCAAACTGGTTAGAAAGTTAGGACGGGAAGAGAAGTAGGTTTAAACTTCTTTTAAATTTTAACTAAACTACTAATAATTTTAAATTAGTTCTGCTAGAGAAGCTGTGCCAACCTGAAGGTACCCTTTCTTTTCTCTAAAAGTCATCCCCAAGTACGCTTTCAGATTTACTTCCTCTGCATTGCTAAAACATATTCCTACCTTTCCATTGATAGTGCTAGCACTTGTCCAAGCCTGCTTCAACTTACATATTGACCCCAATTTCTGCTTATTTTGTTTCTTACTTCCTTAATACATATTAGCTTCCTATCACCCATATTTCTTAGTGTGGGGCTTGAAGTCGCTCTGAGCTTAGAGTAAAAATCGCAAAGAACAGCATGTTATTCTTTCCAAGCTGCTGCTGCCTCCTATCCTCATCGTCTGTTGCGGTTCCTGCCTGTTTCCCCTACACATTTCATCTCTTTCTTGGGTCTGCTTCCTTCCCAAGATTACAACTTGGCAAATGTTGTTCTCTGTACACAAAGCATGTTCCCCGTTAATAAGTGATGCCAGCCTCTCTCTCATTCCTTCACAAAACACCACCATTTATTCCCTGAACAATTCTAGCTATAATTACCAAATTACCAGCATGTATAACATACCATTTAGTGCTCTTTCATGTCCTGGGCTTGCTTATGTCTCTACAGCACTGAGTTGGGAATATTATAGTGTAGTCTTTGCTGTGTACCACATGGTGCTCCATGCATTTATTAGACTAAACAAATAATAATTTTGCTAGTTTATTTTGGCAGTGCACTTGTGAACATGTACAACTTGTATCTGGTTAGCTTGCCTTGTGGAAGAAGCTCGACTTGTTGTGTTTTGCGCATTTTGGTTGCCAGTGCTCACAGCTCTGAAATGTGTACTGTGTATAACACAGTGGAGAAAAAGTAGCTCAGGAATGTGTTTAACCTAGAATCTAAACTGTGCATTCATAATGTTTAAAAATAACTTGAACGGTATTTCATGGCAGCCTTTTAGGTTTGGAAATGGGTTTGCTTTTGAACTTGTCTTATTAGTGGGAAAGCAGCAAATGCTACCAACTTCGTGTAGGAAGTTTACAATTCCATGGTCTAACCTGAATGCAGATAGTGATGGTAAATTTATTAATGATGCAGTTTCTTGCATCTGATTCTTCAGTGTGTTTCCCGTATCCTAAAGAAGATTTTTTTCTCTCCCAAAATGAAATTGCCATTTTTCCATCCCCAATAGCACTCAACAATAAAATACAACATGAAATTACTGTTTTCTAAAACTATTCATTTGGTTAGTTGTTGGTCATGGTGGTCTATGTTCACAAAAGACTACAGTCATTTTGAAAGACCTTGTTTAAACAAGTCCCCTAGTATAGGGATATCATGTGTTGGAAAAGAGCCTCTTCTTTTGGGAGAGTCCTAATTTGTAGCATGGCTATTTTTTAACTGGAAGATTATACATGGGACTGAAGAATCAGTACCTTTTAGCCAACTTCAGTTTTCCCACTTACTTGCGTTAGGAGAGAGCAGTATTTAGGGGAACAATTAGAAATATAGAAGTAAAACATTTAAAAGATCAGTCTCAGAGAATGAGAATTCAGGAGAGGGGAGGAGGTAAAATATAGTACTTAAATAGATGAGATTTGAAGTTGGTATTTTTCCCTTTGGGAGAAGAAAAATAAAACCCTGTTTATTTGTATGTAATAGTATGTATGTTACAAGCTGCCTTTAAAGCATCTTGAACTAAACTTGCATTATTCCTCTCTCTCTAGGGTATACCCATGGCTTAGGGGTCTAGGCTATACATCTTTAACTGTATTTTTAATGGGATTTTTTCTCTGGAATGTGGACAATATTTTCTGTGATAAATTGAGGTGAGTTCTTTCAATTTGTCTGGATAGCTCTTAATAGTCTTCTAGCATAAAGCTTTGTTTTTAATGCAGTGTATATTCAAGTCCATCTCATGGTATGCATGGTATGCTGCCTACAAAATATTCACGAGGGTTTTACCCAGTTTGCTCATGACTAGATTCAGCACTCAACAGGTTTTTTTAACATTTTTTTTTTTAATCCATGAATAGATTTATTTTTTTAAATAATTGCTATTTCTCTTTAGCTTCAACTTAAATTGAGAGAAAGTAATGTCACTGAAGTAATTTTGAGGATCTGTGGCTTGCTAAAGCCTACTATTCACACTTGATTTCATCTGAATGAGTGTTTTATCCTGCTTTTTTTTTTTTTTTTTTGCTTCTGCTCTTGCCATTTCCCAGGAAAATATCAAAACCAGTAGTTCTGCAGGTTAAAGAAATATCTCTTTCAATATATCTGTCACAATAAACAACAGCTGTTTGAGCATCTCGGAAGGAACAGTAACTGTGAGTCAATACACTGTGCTTGGCTGTCATCATTAGCCTAAAGTCTTCTAGCTTAGCACTCATAGAGAAGGCCAGGAAAGACTTCCTCTCTGCTTAGTGTATTGCCAAATGGGGTAAAAGAGGCCTCCAGACAAAGCTTGTAGGAGCCCACCATCTCGTTGTATGGCTAGATATCCTGTCCGTGCAAGAAAGAACACCAGTCCAACAGGTTGTTCTCTTAACATGTGTTCCTCTGGAACTGGGCAACTGCATTGTGGCACCTTTCTTTTGCTTAGTTATGATGCTTGTGTTCCACTACAAGCTGGAGAAGATGGAAAGGTTGATGCCAGCATCCAGAAAATCCATTCTTGACTATCTGATATGCTGTTATGCTGCTGAATCTGTGGTGTACACAATTGTCCTAGAAGGTTGCTTTGTCAGGGTCAGATCGTAGTGTGCTGTGAAGATGTTTAGTGTTTTCCATCTGTCCCTTTTGGCTCTGTAGTCCCTGCACTAGGCTAGGTCAATTGAAAGTTAACACCAACAGAGTTTTCTTGAAACTTTTTTTTAAAAATATAGGTGTACTGAATATAATACATGGTGCCTCATCCCTAGAAATGCTTCATACAGATGGGATAGAAAAGTTATTTGCCAACACAAGTGGGTGGGTATACAGTGACTTTGCAAATATTGGCATCAGGGTTGATTTTTGCAGCTGCATCACATCACTGGTGAGATCATAACCCCCAATTCTCCAAGCCTGATGAGCTGCTGCAGGTCCGTGGGGCTTTTGAACTTGTTCCTAGACTCAAAGATTACACCAGCTGCTGAAGCACTTTTTTCCATCCTCATTTTGTAAAGGGAAAAAAAAGTTAGCATACCTCCTGTAATACTTGTTTGGTTATGGTGCTGGAAAAAAATAAATACGCTTGTTTACTAGCTTTAATCGGATGTCTGCAGAGCCTTGAATTTGTCCAGGTGGTATGGAACCTTTGGGGAAAATATATTCCAGCTCCTTGTAATTTTTTATTCTTTAATGATCTAACTTGTGAATCATCCACCTACCTGCTCTTTTTGGTTTTAATGTTCAAAATTGTATTTTGGTTCAGTTTTTGGTTTTCCATATTCATTAAATCTGGAACTTATTTAAAAACAAAACAAAACAAAAAACAACCACCAACCCCCCCCCCCCCCCAAATAAAAAAAAAATACTCTATAGCACTCAGCTTCCCTGGTTGGATCCATGCACTTTTGAATTTGAGCTTTGAGATTTCCTGCCATCCAAAGGCTCAGAGGCTGTGCCAGTGTGACAGTCTTTGTGTTCCCCTATGTCATTTCTGGGCTGACTAAATCAAAGCTCTGTGTTCATATTTGTGACTGAGCAGCTCTGGAAACTAAGAGGTAGCTCAGGGATTAGCATTTAGTCAGGAGGACTGAACACTGTAATATCAAGCAGTAAGAAAGAATTATAGAAGCTGCAGATTTTTCTTCCTTAACACCTGTGATCATTGTTTTCCATTTTTTGTTTTGACTGAATGTGAAATGAAAGTCAAAAAAGGAGACAGGCAGATGCAAACATTTGCTCCACCATCAACCAAAATAGGCGTTATCTGCAGAAGCCTAGTGAGCAGGAGAAATCAGGGCAGGGTAGTTCCTTCCCTTTCTCTATGTCCATCCCTTAGCCTCTTCCCAAGAAGCTCACACTCCATAACTGTGCAAAATACAAAGCATGTTGGCGGAGTACTTCAGACCCTCTACTTTCATTGCTTCCTTACTAAACACCCATTTTGCCCGTTTTTTAGAGTTCAACAGAGAAAGGCAAGCTAAGCCTCTGTGGAGCTGGAGAGTAGGTGGTGTGATTGCCAGATGTGAAGTGGTGATGTCTGATGGATCCCATCTCCTCTCTCAGATCTTAAACTCAGCATTTCATCCTGTGGACAGTAGTTCACAGGGTTTTGGGGAGGAGAATGATAGAACTCATTTGGGACTGTGGGGTGCCATAAATATAATTCCCTGAAATTTGAGTCCAGAAGTCACTGATCACTGATTGTATGAAGAAGTGTGTGCTTTCTTCAAATGTGTAAGAAAGCCAGTTTGCTAATATCTTTCTGTACTGGCAGTATAAGGTGTAACTGCTGTTCCTCACCTGCTGAAAGCCTGACTATGTGAAGCCTTACTCGTGAAGCACATGCCTGAGATACGGAAACAGTAATGTGTGATCCAACAGTCAAGCACTACAATTTGAGATAACTTAGCTTGAAAAAAACCCTAAACAGTGCATGATGTTTCTTTCTTACAGAGCACTACGAGAGAAGATGCCTCCTGTTGTGGGAGCTGTAACACAGTTTCATGCATGGTGGCATATTCTCACAGGCCTGGGCTCTTACCTTCATATCCTGCTAAGGTAGGAAATGTTTTCTAAACTGGATGCTCATAAAGCACTTAGGAGTTTTCCCAGGTTCAGATTTACTTGAAGGTGTTGTATTGTCCAGAAAAGCAGGAAAATTACTTCTTACTAAACTGGTGGGAGTTTTTCTTTCCTCTTTGCAACTGGTCTAAAAACTATGTAAAATTAATTTGTATTGTTTAAATAGTCATGGTTCTTCATGAAATTGCAATTCAGAAATGGGAACCCTGTAGCAGTTAAACTGCAAAACTATTTGACAGTATATTAATTTCAAAATGTAAGCTATTAATACCTTTCTGTTCTTGAGCAGCAATCTTGAAGTACTTAAAACATGTTTAATTGTAGAAGTGTAACTAATCTTTTTGATAGGCACTGTCGCTCCTGAAAACTAGCAGGCATCATGCTATAGAGCAGAAGGGTGACGGCTGAAGTTGGAGCAGTGCTGCTCCCAGAAGGGCAGGATATTAGTTTTAGAAGGAGACTTAAATGAGAGCCTAAGTTAGCAAGTCTGCAGCCAGCAGATTTTTGTCTCTGTTTTTTGCTCTATACCACCATCTAGTGGAGCCAGGAGCAAAAATAGAATTTAAGCTAGACTCTGAAGAATTTCTGTAGTTTGTTCGTTACGTAATGAAATAATGTTTTACCACTTAACCATAAGAGAATGTCTGTTTTACAGATACTTTCTATGTAGTTGAGAAAACTTGATTACGTATCAGTTTTTCTACATCTAACATAGATTCTCCTTTTTCGTCAGATGTTAAAATAGCTAGTAAAAGGAAAATGCAAGGAAAAATAAGTACATTTCCAGTAGCTATTCTGAGAGCTTTTTTTTATATCTACATGTACGTAGATATGTACATATACACATGTATATATGTACTTGTATATGTATGTGTATATATAAAATATGTCATGGTATGTGGAAAACAGCTGCTCCATTTTGGCTGACAGGTTGTCTGCTGCCCTAAACAGCTTGAGATACTCTTTTGATGAAAATTCCTTACAGAAAGCAAGCTGATGCAGAGAGTTTGGAAAGCATAGGCAAGTTTTTTCCAGCATGCTGCACAGAAAAAATAATTTGGGTTTGTGTCCTCTAGCCCTTGGGGAACGTGCAGGTGCCCGATTTCTCTGTCCTACCCCAATGAAGTCCATGCTTTCCCTGCAGTAGTTTCCCTAGTATTTCCTCAGCCACATAGCGGCATCACCTATGTCTGCTTAAAAAAGTGAGGTCATACACAGGAAAACATCTGCTGAAGAGAGAGGGTCTATATGAGCTACAGAATCAAGCTATGATGCTTTCCCCTGCCCCCCCATCCCCCTTAACATCTGCTATATTTTGTGGTACACTGATTTAATTTCATCCTTCCAAAATGACAGGCTCTAGTCTCTGTTTGGTCTTTTCCACAGTGGAGAGAGAATTTACTTCTCTGGGTTTCTTTCTTTCTCCCCACAAAGGTGATAAGGTAGATTAGTTTGCTAATCATAGTCTAGCACAGAGGGATTTACCGTAGGCTAATGTCTCCTACTTTGTGTAAATCTAGGCAGAATGGGTAGCTCTGCAATCAGAGAAACAATTCTTTTCTAGTTGGAAAATATAACTGGTATTAGTACATCATTATTATTTTATATGCTGTCTTACACATGAAATTTTAAGCATGCTTTTCTCCTTTTCCTCAGTTTATACACAAGGACACTTTTCCTGAAACACAGGCCAAAGGTGAAGGTAAGCGAGCAATATTTTGTGTCCATTAATGGGCTGCAGCATTCTGATATCTTGTGCTTTGAACTTGCAGTGGGGCTCACTGATTATGCCTGTTAGGGTACTGTCTTTGATTTCTACTTACATCCCAAGAAGTGCAGTTGAAATGATGGTTAACGGTGTTAACCAAGAGACATAAAGTTCCAGGAAATCTTTCCCCTTTTCCTATTTTTCTTTTAACAGTTTGTTTTTGGAATATGGCCTGTTCTTCTTGTGGAGCCGCCCAAGAAGCTTTGACTGTGAGACCTAGGCAGTCACATGCGATCACCTAGCCTGGCTGAATAAAGTGATTCAACAGTTACTATGGCTGAAGTGTCAAAATTATGGATCAATTCAAGTACCATTGCTATAAAAGGACTTCTCTGTGTTACTAGGTCAGCCAGCCAGAACAGAGCAAAGAGCTGGCACGCTAGGGAAATAATGTTTAGTACAGCTTTATTCTAAGTTGTTAAAACAAAGATTAAGACACAATATTTTTATGTATATATTGTATAGCTGATGATACTGAGCTAATATTTCGTGCTGGTCACAGAAAACTAACCATTTTTGAAGTGGATTGCATACGTTTTTCATTCAGTTGTTGTTCTTTCTGTCATTTAAACTAATGTTAGTAACTGAATGACAAAAACAGGCCATTGATGGCCAAGCTAAGCATTTGTGTGGCCTGAAGTGAACTGAATGCTTAACCTGAACTACTTTAATCTTGCACTTTTATACAATTAATGAAGTATGTAAAGATTGATTTAGGGCTTTATTCTATCTTGCTTTTCCACAGCCTCCTTTGCAATTTATATTTTAAGTGAAACGGTTGGGATACCTGTGCCATTTAGTTGATTTTGTACCAAGCTTCCATTTTCTCTTAGTCCAACTGAGGTACATCGTGGAGGATGTTCCAGGGTGTGACCGGCGGAAGACACTTAAGATGGTGAAGCATTATAGGGGTTCTGGTTTGTGTGTGGAAACTGAATTCCTAATTTGTTTGACCAGTGATCTATCAAGAGACTGCAGGGTGACTGTATAAACACAAGAAACACTTTTTTTATTTTTTATAATTATTATTTACATGTCTCCCTTTTCTATCCATACTTTTTACTCCCCATGTCCCATTCACACTATAGATTGACAAACACCTTAGATGTGTGCTAGTTCAGCTTTGAATTCATCTCTTTCCCTTATTTTACAAGTCTTAAATATTGGTCTGACTTTCAGAAGCATCTTATTATTCAGAAATACTGAAGAAAGAGTAAAGAACAAGATTGATGTTGAGGATACCCCAAAATATAATGGGTAGCACTTTGATTGTTTGCTCTTAATCTGTCCATCACATGGTTAGTCTGTGGAAAGTTGACCACCTTTTTAAAACCAAACTTTGGGGATTAACAGGGGAGACAAACCCTCTGGTTTCTGCAATTTTTATCTACCCAGCTGATGAAAGTTAGTAAGTGAGCATAAAGAAAACTTTGAACTAAGACAGTTTTTCAAAATATACCTCATATTGGAGGCTGTGGTTTTGACTCTTCAGATCTTGGGGCAACTAATGGAGCCTGTCTCTGGGCCTCCTAGCTGCCATGCTATGCAATTTTTGTCTGCTTTTGATGCTCTGAGGGATTTATCCTTCTTGCCGTGAAGGAAAAAAGGGAAAAGCTCAGACTGATTGGAAATCCCATTCTGTATCGATTTAAAATGTGCCCACAGCAGCAAAGCACAGTAACATAGCTATAAAGCTGTCTCCCAGATCACAAAGTCCTGGCTGTTGTACAATCAGCGCTGACTAAAATGGTCTCCTCCCTTTAATGTCTTTTTTCCTGTTTGCAGCTTAGCTGCATCTTCCATGAAATCTGTCCATCAGTAGCACTCCTACAAATTGGCAAATCTCCAAATAAAATCATAGCTTTTGTTATGTGACTGACCCTGGACTCTTGGGATCAAATAGACCCAAACTTTTGGCTAGAAAAAGATACTTAACCTTTTCTGACTTCAGTGAGGTTTAAGCATGTCCTGATAGTAGTGCATTTCAACCTGTAAAACACTATAAAGACTCCTGAATGGTAAATTTAGAACAAATTTGTTGTCAGTAGACTCCAGTTCCATAGACAAGCTCAGTATCTGTGTTGGGATATGAGTGACCTTCAGACTGAAAGAGGTTGGAATAACTATCACAGAGGTAGGAAAATGCTGTCTTGGATCAAATGTCTTCAATTATCCAGAAGGCATATTTTTTGTGAAGAGATTTGAGAACTGTTTTAAAAATGTAGCTTAAAAATAAGTGCCTGCCTATTCACCTCCAGGCTCTTTTAAACATCCTTCTGCACACTGTATCTGATTTTCTTATTTAGTATGTTTACATGTTTTCATAAGTTAGGGAAAGAGTCCCATAATAGGAGCAGCGCAGCAACAAGACATGTCAACAGTCACTTGTGATATCTGCTAGGTATGGTATTATTTTTAAGAAAATGAACAAAACTTTTATTTTAGTGGCCTTAGTTTTGTTACTGGAGGATCTGGGGGCTCTGTTTGGTTTCCCTGTAATTGCAGGAACCAGAGTGTGCTGAAAAGCCACTTTCTTATTGATAAGACATCTCTACAGTGGTATATTTTGAAGACATTTGTTGATCCTCCTACACGTTTTCAACTAGGAAGTGTATGGGTTTTTTCAGATCTTGTTGAATTAAATTGTGAGGATTTTAAGAAAAGGTTGGAAAAGCTCTTGTTTTAATTTTAGCTTTTCATTCACATACCATTTGTCACTGATGTTTTCATCTTTAAAAAAATTGTCTTATTCCTTCATTCCAAATGACCAAAAACATTCTACCACCCTTCCAGTAGCCTTTCTTTCAGGTTATGTTAGACCCTGAAGAATGTAATTTACTTGTGTATCCTTCTGAGCATAAATAATCTAAAATTATGGGTGCTTTGGTTTCACTGCCTTACTGATCTTGTGAGTGATATTGAAAATGGCAAGCCAGTTTTAACTGCATGTCACTGAAATTCAGACTGCTTTTTCTAGTGCCTGGAAAGACATACATCCTTACTCCTGTAATGTGTTAAATGTCTGTTAAATTGTTTTTTATTTATATCACTTGTATGACATGCTGATCTTTTTCTACAAACATTAGAGCAGCATATCCTAAACTTTTCTTGCACTACATCTTATAAGGTGGGTCGTCTTTGATCCTATTTTTTGAGTAGGATTCAGACAGCAGCTACTTTAAAGGGAATTAGGGAAGTAGTAGGTGTTGTTTAATATGAATCCTACAGGACGTATTGGACAGACTTGATAGCTATGAACTCTTATTCTTTAATATCCGTGAAGAACCAGGAAATCTGCCACCTTACGACCATCGGCTTGGCACAGATCCACAGCACGCAGTTCTGCAGACAGTGAGCTGAAAAATTCTTCTTGGAATTAAAAGAAAAACCTCAGAATTACTCTCCCAATACAGATCAACACCATACCTTACGCTGGGAATCTAGATTCTCTGGATACAGCTCAAGACATGCGTTATCCAGAACTGGAGATAAGACATGATAAACAGAAATCTGCCATCAGGATGAAACTCACCTGTGTTTTGAAGGCAGTGCTGTTAGCTAGCAGTATTAGTCATCTCCGGACTTCATTTTAATGCTTTTTCTTTAGCACAAGGACGATGTGCTACGTGCGAGTGTTTAGAAGACTACCCCATAGTCAGAATTGGAATATGCAGTCTTATCACTTGCCGATCTACCTCTGTCATGTATTGTACAATACCTGTGCCCTTAATTATATCTGCCTGAATGTGCAGACGTTAGAGCAGCCTGACTTAGACCATGCAGCCCCTGAGGTTGGCAACAGTATTGTATTGATCTGCGGCTGACTGTTCACTCTCCGTAAACATCCTGACTTGTTCAGTGTCTGACACTTTCAGGTTGTGCTCAGTCTGCTGTTCATCTGCATGCAGAAGTCCGGCTGCTTTAGAAAGAGATACGAGTAGGAGGACTTTAATTCAGACAGGTGAAGTGAAACCTTTTTGGCAGTTAAGTTATATTTAAAGCTAAGATGCAAACAGTGTAACTTGTTTTACGTGGTTTTGGAAGAGATGTGATGGAAAATACTGTTTTATAATTAGTTTTAATTCTCTTTTAATCTAATATTGTGCTGTCTTGTTTGGCTGAAGGGAAATTGTATGATTTGAAATGCAGTTGATTCTTTTGGCTATAGTGCATTTGCTTCCAACAGCTGGTTTCGAACAGCTGAATGAGTTTTTCAGCTAACCCCTCCATGTGAAACTCTTAGCAACAGAAAATCCTCCCAGTATCACAAGTGTTTCTCTCAGTCACTACCACGTTTTTTAGTCTGCATTCAAGAATTTTGGTAATACCATTCTTTTTTTTTTTTTTTTTTTTTAAACCTGTTTCTCTCTGGATATATTTTTAGCATTTGATAGCAGGTGGTGAAACAATTCAATATAACACTTCTCAGTGGAAGATGAGCTCTAACGAAGCAGCACTGCTGTTTTCTTCAGTAGACCTCAGAATCCAGGAACACACTTTAACTTTGGTGGAACGTGTGCCCCATAATTTAAAATAACATTTTCAGGTAAAACAGTTGATTGACTTTAAAGAAACCCCATCTGCACTTTAAGTAGGCGGTGGGAGGCTTTAACTGCAAAGTACTGTTTAACTGTGAGACTTTAGTATGAAGAGGGATAAATGATGAAGTCTTTATTACCCATGAGAAGCAAAAGCCAGAAGGAGATTAAGAAATCTTACATGAAAAGAGAGTAACAAAAGATTAAGCACAGAATCCCGTAGTATTAGGTCAACCACCTTCCTGATAACTGCACTTTAGATACTTACGTAACAAGTTTGAATGTTTTGCTATTTATACATTTAACTTTCCATGCTGACTCTTCACTCTTCACCATAGAAGTGATGTACCCTCTGTTACATTCGGTTCATTGTAGATTATTCAGCTGTTTGTTTATGAGGATGGAACGTGACATGGATTGTTTTGTACATGAATGAACACATTTCTTACCCATCTGGAACATCCTCTGCCAGCTTTGTTTGAGAGTCTGTAATGTAACTACAGAGAATACACTGTATAACTATTAAGACTGGTTTTGGGTTTCTTTGTTCAGTTTCTTGCTTGTGACTGCCTATGGCTGCCAAGTGCCTGATCTCTTTGTCGCAAGTCTTTTCTGAGAGCTGAGGCTGTGTTTTCTCCTGGGGTCCATAAGACAGGGTCCTTGGTAGGTGGGAAGACAGTTTGTTTTTTGTTAAAAATACTCCTACTGCAGGAGTCACAGAACTCTTTTTAGTTGTTTTCCAGAAACGTAGTTATCCAGTGCGTGGCTGCCTCTGCTTGGCTCAAATTCGAGCCTGACTACCCCATGTCCCTGATGCTGTTGCATCTTTTCAGATTTTGAAAGCTCCTTGAGGGATTTATCCCCACAGCTGTTTATTTTAGTGTGTGTAGTTCAGGGACAGGCAGTGTGAGGGCGCAGCAGGCAAGCAAGCACTTTATGCAGAGCCCCATTACTGGAGCTCCCAGCCAGATGCTCCAAACAGGACTGGGGATATGGGGATTCATATGTACAATTTTGGGGCAGGGTTGATGCCTGAACCTCTTTACTTCAGAACTTTCCCTTTTGACTTGTTGAAAGTGTTTAGATTTGATTAAGCATGTAATTGCACATTTAAGAAGAACCAAGTTCAGAATCCAGCTAATGTAAGACCCTAAACCAGTGCCTGCAAATTTTTTTTTGCACATATTTCACACAAGTTGAATCTGCCTAATGTTTAGAGCAGATTGTTGAGATTTTAAAAATGCAAAGATAAAGGGTCTTTTGATTATTTGTCCACAGGAATAGCTGTAAGCACAATCTCAGATTCATCCTTCTTTCCCCAAAGCTCTGGAACATATATATGTTTCTCCAAAGCCAATGTCGAATAGAGTGGGCTTTCACACATGCTCATAGCAAATCATGTACCAAAATGTTTTCTAAATTAAAGCCTTGGCCAGCTGCTGTGGAAGAATTTTGGTTGTGTATGCTGTTGCTCCCTGGATTTTGAAAGAGAGACTTTCAAGCAGCATAAGCAGTAGTTACTCTTAGACTGAACAGGAACTGATTTTTCCTTTTGATCTTCCAAAATGATGTTGACTATTGAACTCATCTTAATGCACTGATGATGTTTACTGTCTTAGCAAATAACATTTGTCCACCTGTAATGGACATGAAATACCCCGCGTGTTACATGACCAAACTTTCTAACATTGACACTATTAGT